AACCCCTGAAGATCGTCTTCCGGTTCATGTGCCTCTTGTGAGGTAGTGTGAACGGAGGACTGGTAGCTGTTGCTAGCCTCGCTGGCCGTTTCGAGTCCGTCGCTTTCGTCATCTTCGGATGCATGAGCCAGGCTGCTGGGCTCTCCAGTAGTGTCGCTAATGTTGGTGTAGCTTCCCTGGGACGGATCGCGTCCAGTGGATGGTTCTGGGCTGATGGATGCTGCTCTTGCCAACCGTCCTGTGCAGGTCTCACTTCGCTGTGTTGGGTCGAGTGAAATGCCTCCTTCTTCCTGCTCTTGGTTTCGCAAGCTGGCGTTGGTGTCAGGACCAGTTCGTGAAGACATCCCTTACTCTTCGGGTTCTATCGATCTGAGGATGTCCGCTGCGAACGCGAATGCGTCGTCCTCGGTTTCATGGTGCGGTCGTCTTGGGTTCGGTTCCTCTCTGTGCGACGCTCCTGCTGCTGTGCTAGCGTCTGCGTCCTCATTCGGCATCGCCGAATATTGCGAGTAAGTTGGCGATGGTAATGGACTGTGCTCAGGTGAGGATGTGGATGAGTCTTCGCTGGGAAGGGAAGACGGCGGTGGTGCTTCGTCGTTCGAGGTTGGGGTTTGACGCTCTATTTCTGAGTGGTGGTGGGTTGGGTTTGGGGCATGTGGCCTGTTCAGGGTTATGCTGGGAGGTGTTGGCATGGACATTGATCTGTGGCGGACAGCGAAGTTGGTCGCCTCTATCATGTCCGTGGTCTGAGTGTTCGCTTTCCTGTCGGGCATTGAAGCACTTTGGCCGCTTAGTATGTTATGGTCATCCTGACGTGATTGCACACCAAGAGTTTTATAGTCAATTTGAACTGCCGGCTGGCATTTCGTTTTATCTCTTGTTGCGTGTAGTGCTGTGTGTCTGTCGCTCGTCTGTTCTACGAGTGTACGCGGCGTCGTGGGCTGACGTTGGGGAGGTGCTCCAGCGGTATCCGTTTGCATTGTTTGACTGTGAAAGCGTTTGAAGAAGCCGATATTCGATGCCTTCGGTGTGGTGCTCATGCCGCTGCGCGTCGGTTTGTGCTGTTCAGCCAGGGTGTTGTTTGATGGTGTTCCCAGTGTAGTAACCGACGCAGTAGATCCTAGTAGAGGTTGTGTGTGTATAGTACCTGTATCATACAACTGTTCGTGTTCATCCACGTTGATT